TTCTGTGAGGTTCGCGGCGGAGGGAGAAGCTTAGTTAGGGCGAACCCATTTTGCTTTGTTGGAGAAACTGAGTCCAGGATGCACAATTTTAGATATTCATCCGTCCATTCCTCCCACCCTAAACCTGATCTTCGTCGGTCCCAGCCTGGCCTTGTTCACCCATGCGTTCAGTCCTTCCTGTCCTCATAATACCCTCACTCACTGATTCTCGCCTATACCCACTCAACTCGCTCACTCACACCTATTACTTAGTTAAATATTTCTTGAGGCTTCTGGTGTGCCAGGCCCCGTGCTGGGCGATGGTGGTGACCGAGATGAGCCCCAGGTCAGAGGGGAGGACAAACCCGGACTTTGATGGGCAGGAGTGAGCAGGGCCGGGAAGCCAAGAAGAAAGAGAGAGTCTTTTTTGGGTTTGGCGTGGTCACGAAAGGGTTTCCAGAGGAGGGGCCATTGCAGATGAATCCGGAGGAGCAGGAGTGGCAGGCGAAGGTGGAGGAGAGGGTGTGGGGAGCATGAGCAAACACAGGGAGGCATGAAGGGGTATTGCCTGTGTGCAGGCGCCCAGGAAGCCAGTCAGGTCCATGTGGCCAGTGGAGGGGATTACAAGGCTGGAAGAGGATGAAGAGGTGGGCAGAGGCCGGGCTGAGGATCTTGGGCTTTGTCCTGGGGGCTGAGGGGTAGTGGGAGGACATAGAAGGTTTTAGAGCAGGGGAGGACAGGGCCAGAGCTGGAACTAGCACTGGAGGAATGAGAGTGGAAGCCAGGAAGGAGCTCTGGAGGCGGCTAGGGCAGGGAACCAGGTGCCTAGGGCAGGGACCCAGGCAGGAGAGGATGGAGCCTGGATCTGGGCACAGGCGAAAGGGATGGGGCAGAGGAGGAGGGGATGGGGTGGAGAGAATAAATATGGGGACTAATGGGCTATGGGAGGAAGGGACGTCGGGATAAGGCCCAGAGCTCTGGGGGACTGAGGACAATGGGACCCTTTCTGAGATGAGGACGGGAAGGAGATTATTTTGGCAAAAATGAGCAATGGGTCCTGTGGGCAGGATAGGGGGAGCTGTGAACTTGGGCCGGTGGATCTGAGCCTTCAGGGAGCAGTCTGGGCAACGCCCCCTCCCCCTTCTCACCCCCTGACTCAGAAGTCACTTGGTGAGTGAATGAGGGCCTCTGAGGCGAGGGTCCTCCTCCTCCGCTCATCCCCTCAGGAAACTGCCTTTTTGTGTCTCTGCATGGTCTGTCTCTCCCTCTCATTCTTTTCTGGCAGCATTAAAACATGTTCCGTCATCTCTAAACACACACACACATCCTGCATGAAGCTTCCTTGAATTATCGTTCACCCCCTTTACATCCAAAGGCTTGTGGTGCCCACTGGCTCTCCACTTCACCTCCCACTGCCTCCTCCACCCACTGAGGCCTGGCTGCCTCCCACCTCCCTCTACCATGACCCTGCCCTACCTCTGGACAATGATCCCATTCCAGTCCTTACTGAACATTGACCACTCCGCCCGCCTGAAACCCCTTTTACCTTATACCCTCCTTTCTCCTGGCTAGCTTCCTCCCTCTCCAGCTGCTCCTCACAACCCTCC